CCSMAGACACAGCATGATCAGAGTAATGAACTATCCTCCTGCAGCAGATGCCAGCCCCTAATGTAGAATCATGGAATCACTAAGGYTGGAAAAGCTCCAGGATCAAGTCCAACCTGTGATCACTCACCCCCATGTCCACTAAAACATATTGTCAAATGCTATGTCTGCTCTGGTTTTGAACATCCAGGCATGGGGAACCACCACTGCCCTGTGCAGCCCATGCCAGTGCTTTACCACTCTTTCAGTGAATATTTGCCCATATCTTATCTAAACTTCCCATGGCACAACTTGAGGCTGTTTCTTCTCATCCTGTCCTTTGTCCCCTGGGAGCAGAGCCTGACCCCGCCCCAGCTGCCCCCTCCTMTCAGGGAGTTGTGGAGAGCCACAAGGTCCCCCCTGAGCCTCCTTTTYTCCAGGCTGAKCCCCCYAGCTCCCTCAGTTGTTCCTGGTGCTCCAGCCCTTTCCCATTTCCATTCCCTTCCCTGGACATGYTCCAGCCCCTCTATGTCTCTCTTGTGAGGGGCCAAGTCTGGACACAGCACTCAGGGAGCCTCAGCAGAGCTTCCTTGCCCACYTGGGCTCATGTTCACCCTCTGTTGACCACCTGAGTTGCTCAACTGAGTAAGAGGCAGCAGGGAAACATTTGCTTATCTTCTACTTATTCACATTTTCAGTTGAATCATTCCGTTGTACACTGTTGCCTCTTGAGAACTCTTCCAGCCAGTCTGCTCATGGTTCCCCCTACCCAAGCTGTCACTGCCCAGGTTTTCAGGAGATCTGTGTGATGTTTTTGAGGAGCTGTGTTATGTCTTTAGGGGAGCACTGTGTGATGTCTGTCAAGTCTCTCTCTATTGCTAGACCTGCTGTTACAGAAATGATGACTTGCCATGCTTGTCATGTTTTCTGACAAAATGTCAGAGGCAGATGTCAAGTACCAAGGGATGAAACCGAGTGCTATGAGGTGTGATTGCAGAGRAAATGTTTATTTTAAAAGACCTTGTGTTTCTCTCTGTTGTATTTTTAAGGTGGTGATAAATGGTGGAGCAACATCCAGTGGTGATCAGGACACAGAGGACACAGAGCTGATGGCCATCTATACTACAGAAAATGGCATAGCAGAAAAGGTATGGTGGGTTCACTGCTAGGTGAGAACTTGTTCTTGCTCTTTCATTTGTCCACAGCAGTCTCCCCTAGCTGTGAGATTTCCTGTCTCAGCAGACCTGCTGACTTGCAGATTCACATCAGCTTGGGGAGTTCTCCCCTCATGACTCCTGATCCCACACTTCAGTTGCCACACACAGGTCATGACTCAGAAAATGGTAGAAGCAGTTAATGCCTTTTGACCTGGCACCAGAGTTCATAGGATGCAGTTGTTTCATTTCTTTGTGTCCACTGGCCTTTCTCATGGCTTCCCTGGGAAGGCCATTCTTCTCTGCATTTAGTCAAGGGGCCTGGTGGTGTTGAGCACCTTCAAAAGTGGGATCTTCCCCATTGTCCTTCCCAATATCTTCCAAGTTCCAGCCTAATATGTTTGATTTTTCTAGTCCTTTTTCTAGAGGCTTCTAATTATCATTGAGTGAGAGCTTTATGAATGAAAGTATTTTGTTCAGAGAACAATTGTGTCTCAGCTATTCAGGAAGATCCAGTTGAGGCCTCGGAGGACACTGATTTGGTTGTGATTTTTCCAGCTTTTTTCTCTGTTCCATTATTCCTGAGGTCTGTTCAGTAATAATCCTGCAAGCTGAGATGATTTGAATCTGAGCTTTTGATTAAAATAAGGATGAGGATTATGGTAAATCAGCACCTTCTGAAATGTTCAATCACACTGACTTTGTGGTAAAGCCTTRTCTCTGAAAAGCTTCAACTTGACCAAATTTTTCAAATGTCSTGATTGAAACAAGARCAAAACTCTTGGTTCCAAGCAMGTGCACCATGATGCTCCTTCCTTCAAGGCTATAATTTCTGTTGGGGCAAGGATGACATCAAGGGATTTTTCTAAYTTGGGCATCAAAATTCACTCCTGAATTTCGGATCTAAAACATYCCCTGAGCAGTTGATTCTACCAGAGGTCTGCCAGTGTTAGGTTTCAGCAGGAGTCTGTGAGTGCCCCACTATGTTTGGTGCACTCCCAGCTCCCATGCTCAGTCTGTTTGGGTGTCTCATACACATCCTTACAGCCATTGTGATCACACTGGTATTTAATGGACAGATTTTTGTTGACCTGCAGAATTCTTTGATGGTTGATTTTGGGAGCATGCTGGGGCTAGAGTGGAGAGACACAATCTGATAAAAGCCTTGAGCCAAAGGTGTTTGGATGAAATTGTGCAATAAGATGTGTGATCTCTAGACATAAAAGTGTGTCTTCATGGCCTGGTTTTACCAAATGTGTGCTTTTCTCCCTTCCAGTTGATCCATGTGATCAGAACTGTAAGTAAGGGAGAATAATTCACCTTAAAGAGACCATGAGCTTTTGAATAACCAAATCTTCTTGAGTTAAGGCTTTGCTGTGGCTTACACTGAAAGAACAGGATAGTGAGGCCCTGAACAGGGTGCCCAGASAAGCTGTGGCTGCCCCGTCCCTGGAAGTGTCCAAGAGCAGGTTGGATGGTGCTTGGAGCAGCCTGGGRTAGTGGGACTKGATGGGCTTTAAGGTCCTTTTCCACCCAAACTATTCCATGATTCTGTGTTTGTTCTTGGTTTTCCATTCCTCTCAAGAATCCATTCACCAAAAGAGCAAATAAAAAGCCTTAACCAAAGAGGTCTGAAATGTCCTTCATCCCTGGAGATGCCCAGTGCTCACGTTGGCTCACAGGATTTGTTACCTGAGACAATAAACAGATAGCCCAGCTGAGAAATGCCTAATGCTGCATCCCTGCCTTGTTGCTTGTTGCTTYGCAGAATAAAGTCACAGAATGGTTTYGTTTGGAAGAGACCTTAAAGATCACCCACTTTCAACCTCTTGCCATGTGCAGGGGTGGCTTCCACTAGACCAAGTTSCCCAGYTGTGGGCTCTTTATTGAAGGTATTTCTSTAAAGACCTTGTTCCCCACAGCTCATCAGTTTCCTTTTGGTTTTTTCCATTAGTACTTCATATCAGAGCCTTTATCTTGCATTGTTGGAGTTGTGTCTTTGGCTGTTGGGATGGCTTTGTTGTGGGGTTTCTTCTTTACCCCCAACATTCTTTCTACATCTTTATCTGTCTCAATCCCTCTGTTCATGTTTACCAGAAAAAAAATAAAAAAAATGCCCAGCATGTTCTACCTTTGGGTAGTTAAAAATAATTAAAGGAAGGATTAGTGTGTGATCAGTATCTCACTGGGGAAGGTGCAGCCCATTCCCAGCACTTCCCTGGGGCACACTTGGCAAGCACCAGCTCTGAGTCAGTGKCAGCCCAGCAGGCCCAGGCTCGAGATGCCAAAGGGCCAGTGAGTTCCTACTGAGGTGTTGGGGTGGCCAGGCCTCACCTGAGTTCTCCCATTTCTCCTTGTTGAGTCTTGATGGTTTTTGTGTCTCTTCCCTGCACCCATGATCTGCTCAAGGCTCGATGAAGGTGAGAGCTGCCTCTCCCAAAGAGATGTTAGTGCCTTTTGGAAGGAATGTGAGTATCCTGGCTGGATTTTTTCCTTTACAACCACTTGCTGTGTAGCACAAACATTGTCATGACAATTATGTCTTGAAGTTTGAAATTATTCTGTTGGAAGGTCTATAACCCTCACTTTCTAAAGGAGGGCTTACATTGGTTGGCAGTTGTTGATCTGTACCCAAAGAGATCTTTCTCTATGCCATGGACTAGCTCACTTGTTCCCAAGTCCACAAACTAATTTAGTTGTGTAATCACAAATGAAAAGCYCTAAAAGGACTCAGAAACTTGCTCTATGTGCCATGGTCTTCCTGGTAGAAACAGGCCATCATTTGTGCTTTTTGCTGCCCAAGGAAGAGATGGGATGGGGTTAGAATGGAATGGAATAGAACACAGAATAGAATAAAATACGGAAAAAATCAAGGAATGCACTTCATTCAATCTCATYGGTCCTATGAAGAAAAATCAGTGTTAGGCACCAAGTGGAGCAGTGTGATAGCTGGATATTGTCTGGCAAAGCTAGAGAAAGTAAAAAAGAGGCCCAAGGATGGGTTTTCAAAAGGGAGGGTCATAACAGAGTCATGAATCTGTACAAATCACTGGCAGGGTGTTCAGAGAACCTGGTACCAATCCCATTGCTGTCCATCCTTAAAAGGAGTTGTGCAGGTTCTCAGTGCACTATGGTTGATGTTTTATCCTTGCACAGAGTAATGAGGTGGGGAAATATCCAGTTTGCTCTCCTCAATCCCTGCTGCTCTTGGGATCACTCCAACAATCCAACACTGACGTGATTCATGAGGCAGATAGGTCATTTCTGCTGAAGCTCTTCCTTTCCTGTCTGAGGAGCAGGTGTTAGAACATGCTCACTCTGCCTCTCTGAAAGTTTGTGCTGACCTCTCAGTCAAAGTGTTGAACAAACACAGGATTTCAGGTGAACAAGGTTCTCATGTGGAGCCTCTGTTTGRGGGGAAAAAGAGAGCTGGTTGAGACAACTGGACATTCCAAGATTTTCTTTGTGGGTGGAACTCAGCTTCCACTCCAAGAGAGACATAGAGGGGCTGGAATGTGTCCAGGAAAGGACATGGAGCTGGGAAGGGTGTGGAGCACTGGGAGCAGCTGAGTGAGTTGGGGGGGCCTCAGCCTGGAGCAGAGGAGGTTCAGAGGGGACCTTGTGGCTCTGCACAACTCCCTGATGGGGGTCAGCCAGGGTGGGTCGGGCTCTGCCCCCAGGGAACAGGGACAGGACAAGAAACAGCCTCAAACTGTGCCAGGGGAGGTTAAGGCTGGACATCAGGATGAATTTCTCCATGGAAAGGGATGTCAGGGATTGGAAAGGGTTGTCAAGGGCAGTGGTGGGGTCCCCATCTCTGTTACCATTCAGAAAAAGTCGATGTGGCACTTGGAGGTGTTGGTTTAATGATGACTGTGGTGTTGATGCTGTGTTGATGGGCAGATTAGATGGTCTTAAAGGGCTTTTCCAACCTTAATGATGCCATGATTGAAATTCCTGGTATTTTTCATGTGATGTTATTTTTTTTAGAGAATTGGGCCAGGAGAGMATTTGTTCATTTTTCAGTCAGTGAAAACCTGCAATTGGTGCTGCCAAGTGGAGGAGGGATTGGGAAGGGACAGTTTTCCTCATGCCTYTGTCCAAACCCTTTATCCTGGTGAAAGGATTGCTCAGTGCTTCAAGTAGTTTAAAGAGTTCTCTGAAATGAGTGTTTCTATAATATGCTTTTCCACTGCAATACCCTCAACCTTCCCACTGTTCTGTGCTCATTGACACTCCCTGAATTTGAATTGTCCCAGTGGACTTGTTTTCTCAACTGAAGGCTGAAGTGAGGGTGGAATGCCAGGGGACAGTTTGGCTCTCTGACCTTGTAGGTGATACCAAATGGAGATTACCTCAGCAAATGGAGATCACCTCAGCATAATCGTGTGTTGGGATTTTTGGAGAAGTCTTTAAGGCAGTCACAAGTCTGGCAGAGTTCCCAGTCTCAATGTGAGGCAACTTCATGTGGGTTTGTTGTGTCCTGGGGTGGATTAGGGCAGAGCAGTTGTTATATAAGTTAGTTGGTCTGAAATTACAAAATCTGATACTTTCTCCTGCTTTTATTGTTGTAGGAAGGCTTTGGAGCATTGTGGGTTTGTTTTCAGGAATTTCCTAACTAGAGTTGGAAGGAAAGGRTTCCACTTAGTTGTGAAAAAGAAATTATAGAGCTGGCTCTTGTTTTAATGGAAAATCTGCAGGGTTGTTGATGTGTGAATATGTGTGGTCAGTTGTCTCTTGGCTYTCTGGAATTGGGACACGTGGTAGGGCAGAGTGTGGTCTTGCTTAAATTCCTGGGGGAATTTAAATTCCTGAAGGAATTTTGGTTTACTGATATAAATTGGTTGGAGGTTATTTTGGTTATAATAATTAGCATTTCTCTTGGTTGCATAAATGGGGGATAGAAGCAAAAATGATAAATCTTGCAGCTAAGAATGGTTAACCAAGATGAAATTGGATAAGGATAAAGCAGGAAAGCAATAACCATAATGAGGATTTTTTTTTGCCAGTGATTTTGATCTCTCATGCAAGGACAGAGCCAGGGTTGACTCTTCTACTTAGTTCCAGTTCTTCCCTATTTTCTTAATTTGTTTGTTTTTGTGGGTTTGGGTTTTGGTGGGGTTTTTTTAATTCACTTTTGGGAACCTTTTGGCTCTCAGATCAGTTCTGTCATAAATTAGCAATTATAAATAAATAAATGGGGAATGGCTGACAGAAGGGAATGTGTTGGGTACAAATTCAGGACCTGGAGCAGATGTAAAAGGCTTTAAAAATATCACATATCAGCATTGCTTGGTAGTGTTGAACCAGCCTTGGAGTATGTGGGAATTGCCTAACAGTTCAAACTCGCTTTATGCCTGTGCAGCAATAACCTGCTGTTGTCCCTTGTTTCTCCTCTCCTCCCCCAGAGCTCCCTGGCAGAGACCCTGGACAGCAGTGGCAGTTTGGATGCCCAGAGGACTGACATGATTTACACCATTGAAGATGTCCCTCCCTGGTACCTCTGCATATTTCTGGGTTTACAGGTACATCCCAAAACAGAGACAATTTTTTTCTTCTGTAACTTTTAAAGCTTGTTGAGTATTTTCATTTGATTGTGTTTGTGTGAATTTTATCCTTCTCCACTCTCATATATTTGAAAAAGGTGTTTAGAGGTTTCTTTTGAGGCTGATCACACTGAGATCATTGTGTTGATAATGATCTGTATGAGTTTTCTGCTCATGCATTTGTAAGATTCACTTAAATATTTCATCTTACAAGCTGCTGTTAGTAAACAGGGGTGAACAAAAGTGCAGTGGTGGCTGTCACATGTGACATTAGGCACCTCTGGAGTTGAAGAGGGAGAGAGAGAATGGTTTAGTCCTGAAATATTGAGTATTAAAGCTGCTATTTTAGTTATTTCAGTTCTGACAGCATCATCCTGGACCTGGCTTGCCAGGAAGCAGRAAGGCAACTTCTGTGCTCCTTGGAGAATGAGCATGTGCTTCCTGCAGTGAGTGGAGCTGTAGTGGACAGCTGGACCCTACTGCCAGCTCAGCCACTCGTGGGAAGCAGAATGGCTCCAGTTCCATCTCCTGCCTTCTCCAATAGTAACAATATCTGTCCCACAGCAATGCTGAGAATTTGGTAATATCTCTAAAGGACGTTGAGATCTCCGAACAAATACATTCCAAAGCATCCTTTTCATTTCTGCCTTTTCCACAAGGACAGGCAGTGCTGTAGGAGTACTGTTTTTACTTGAGTGCAGAATATAGTTAATTTGTTTTGCTTTTAATGTACTTGGGTTGAAAACGAACTAATGGGTGCCCAGTTGCTGGTCCTTGGGAGCTCATTTGTGTGTGCTCCAGGTTCAATTGTGAGCCAATGGATTCTCACATGGGTGCAGGTGGATGAAGTTATTGCTCTGCTGCTCTGGGGGGAGGATRTTCTCAGCACAGTTACCTGGATACCTCCTCAGGAGCAGCAGCTGTGCAGCTATTTCAGTAACCTGGTTATCCTACARAAATTGGGATCATGAGCAGTGTGAGTGAGAGCTTGAGGGAAATAYTGGAAGAAAAGCTCAGGACAGAGGGGTGAGAGCTTTGGTGGGATTTCCAAAGCAARGAGAAAAGATGGTGATGCCCAGAAAAGCTGCTGATAAATGAATTTGCTGTTGAGTGCTGGCTGCATTACTAACSTGGCTCTGTGTCCCCAGCACTACCTGACGTGTTTCAGCGGGACAATCGCTGTGCCCTTCCTGCTGGCTGATGCCATGTGCGTGGGCTTTGACCAGTGGGCCACCAGCCAGCTCATTGGGACCATCTTCTTCTGTGTGGGCATCACCACCTTGTTACAGACCACCTTCGGCTGCAGGTGAGAGCCAGGGTTTGGGGCTGGGCACGGGGGGTAAGGCTGGACATCCACTGGGATTTCCCAAAATTCAGAAATGTGTTTTCAGGGGATAAACAGGAAACACCAGCGGTAGCTCAGATAGAGCACAGTTAGGGAAAGCTTTTGAAAAGCTGCTCCCAAGTAAAGGTGGATCACAAATTAGACAAGGCATTCCAAGGGTAAGAAAACACAGCAAGGAGAGGGGAGGAGCAAGGAAGCCCAGGGGAACAGAGAAGGCAGGAGTGTTTCTGGAAAATGCAAAATTCATACAGCTTGGTACAGAGGAGCTAATTGTGGTRTTCTTATTAATTTCTTGAATTATATTCTTGGCTATATTGAAGTGGTTGTGATGAGTCTACAGCCAATTGCATTCTTGGTCCTGTAAAGGGCTTGGCAAGTTTAAAAGGTAGGGAAAAATGATAAAGGTAACTTGTCATTCTCTGAAGTGAGTCTGTGTGACCTTCCAATCCATAAAATAATTTGCTTTTATTTGTTAGGTGCTCTGAGTAACAGGTAATGATCATTGCTTGAGTTGGGAAGACACACACAAAGGTATATCCTTGCAGGATGCCTTTATCTCTCCTGTGCTCTCCTCTCCTTAGGAGGATTGAAGAGCCCAGGTGGCAAATCCTTTTATGAATCTGGTGGTGGCAAGAACAGGATATTGTTTTACTAAGATGRAGACAAACATTTAAAAACACTGTATTCCACAGTGACCCCTGCACAGAGATGTTTAACATGTTGACTTAAAGTTTGGGAATAACTAAAACCTGCARAGTTATTTCTGCATCTTGAATAAAGTGCATGTTTAAGAGAGTTCCCTTGAGTGGCTACTGAAGTGATTCTCATGTCCTTCTGTTTCAGAACAATGTGAGCTGAAATCTTGCCTTCCAATAGAAAATGTCCAAACACTGCCCCCCCTGCTTCATTTTTAAAGATTTAGTTAAGAACCAGAATCTTTAGGTGGCAGAGGTGTCTCAGCAGGGTGCAGAAGGCAAGCCTATGGTAGATCAGCTTTTCATCTAAAACATTTCCTAATGCTTCAGATTTTCCATTGGTTTGCTTGTTTTCTTTGGAAATAAAACAAACCCTTCCCTGTATTTTTTAATGTGTTACTCAATTTAGGAGATCACTCCTCTGTCTTGTATGAAAAGTTCACTCTGCTGACAAAACAACAGAGTGAAAACGGTTGAAAGAGGAAGTTTTCTTTCCCCCATATATTTTCTTTTAGTAAAGACTCCCCAGATTTAGTAATCATATTTTCAGCCTGGTTGACTCTTTGTGCTGGAGCCATAAATCCTCAAGATCCTCAAGAAATCCTTCCTTGTCTGGAATTTTGTCATATTTTGGGGTTTTTTTCCCATATCTTGGCTATTTATTACTTACTAGAGAGAGATTTGGGGGTTCACTGGGAAAGAAGGGGACCAAAATGATGGTCCCATCATTTTGAAATTCTCTGTTCCTTCTCAATAATCCCTCTCCTGCTCTCCATCTTGTTGGGATTTTTCCCTTTACAGTGGCTTCCACTTGCACTGTACTTACATTTTTATATCCCTGAAGGCCAAATTGTGTTTGGGTCTTAAAATAACTAGTGTTTAAGGAGAAAATTTCCACGCTTGGATGTTTTATAACTATTTTCCATGTGATAGTGGGTTTATGTAAGGCTGGGAATGGGATATAGCCGAGTTCTCAATGAGATTTGAAAGTATTTATTGGCAAGTCTGTCAACTGCAAAGTATTTCAGCAAATAAAGGTTTCAGAAGGTCAAATTCCATGGTTTAAGGGTCCTTAAAGATGGATTTAGCTCAATTATGAGGTGGAGTTGTGGTCACTTTGGTACCCAGACCAGTTTCAGGAATTCCAGCTATTCATGAGGTTATGTAGTCAGCCCAGAGCTTTGGCAGGGGTTCAGGGTAACTAGTGTGACTGAGACTATAAATACAGCTTTAATCTTCCCCAGTATGGTAGGGCTGTTGGTGTGCCCATCCCTGACTGTCTCAGCGTTCTCACATCTGTGCAACATGTGAAGATAATGAGACATTTCCAGATGATTTTGACTGTGTAAAAACTCGTCTTCACAAGGGCTGGTGCCAAAATTGGGCAACTTGAAAATTTAGACATGAATTTTAAATGATATCGCACTCATGAGCTTTAGTACTTGGAGCTTTTGTTGCTTTAACTGGCTAGCAATGAGTGCCTGGCTTAAAATCTGTAAGTCACATTTAAAACTGCAGCTGTCTGTTGAGAAARAGACAGATCTTGGTTGACTGGCTTTGACCAATTAGTTAAAAAAAATAAAAACACAAATTACTTTTTTTTGCCCTGTTTAAGGAGAAAACCCCATTATTTTGAGCCTTTTGGGAGCTCTCCCTGTTATCTGTGTCATGTAAAGGCTGAGCAGAAAACTGAATAGGAGGTGCTGAGATCTAATTTTCTGTCTGTGTGCATGTTGTTTAAAATGCTACAGAGCAACCCAATCTCGTAGAAGTGACCTCAGCACTGGAGAATGTGTTTGCAGTGTGTTTACAAAACACTGAGGGGGATATGGGGCTGTGTAGGTGGGACAGAGCAGTAACAGCTTGTTACAGGTATTGCAGATCTYGCCATGGGGATCTGCTTGCTCAGTCTGCTTAATGAACCTGGCAAAATGAGGTGAATCATTCCCTGAGCTACCAACCGTGGCTTCCCAGAGATAAAGCTTGGATTTGTGCTTGAAGGAACTCCCAGTGGGAATTATGTGAGCCATACTTAGATGGCTCGTGGAGTTTATGAAGTTTGAGTTTCTAACACMGTTTTCAGCATTTGGTGGGTTTAAAATTGCCCATGGCCCAAACACCTCAGCTGCTCAAGTTTCTGTCTGTGAACCTCACAACTACCACTGGTAACGTGCTTCTGATTTGATCTTTTTTGTGCTCTGTGTATACACAGTTTTTTTCCCCACACTTTTCCTCCTTTGAGCATTTTCTGATCTTTACCTGAATCAGAACAGGTTTTTTCCTGTGCTGGTGTTTGCCCTGCCATCGAGGTGCTGTAAAACAGCCCATGACAAATTCCTGTGTCACACCTTGGGATCTCCTATCAAAGGGAATCTCATGACAATCCATTGATGTCAACATTTATAGAATATAAAAGTTCAAAGTGCATCTCGTCTGTAGTTAACTAACATCTGGATATTGGTTATGCAAGGTACAGTGAGTTCAATAAATTTGTACTTGGTGCAGGTAGATGCCCTTTCTAAATCTTCAATCTTTTGGGAAGTATAAACATCAATGCTAAGAATGTAATCTTGAAATTCTTGTAGCGTTTGTATTTATTGGTGGTAACCACTTGGAACATCTAATCTGCTCTCATCAACCCAACAGTTATTGACCCATAAAAATGAGTGTGTAGGTGACTGCACTCGGAGTTACGCACAGGGAAGGGATGGAGCTGCAGGCTGTGCTCTCAGAGAGCTTTTCTTCTGTGCTGGGATGGTCAAAGCTGCATGTTCAGGAGTCTGGTGCTCCCATCACAAATGTCTGTCTGTCTCCCCATGCTGCTGAGTCACAGTGTAACATCAGTGCTTGGCTCCTGAAATTACCTGGTGCAGGTTGGTTAATAACTTCAGGCAGGTGGTGTCCAGTCTTTGGCTTGTGAAGTCTTAGTATTTCTCTGGGGTTTTTTTTGGGTTTTTTTTTTTGTGAGAAATTCTCCTGTCTCACAGTTATAACTCAGTAAAGAGTGGATTGAGTGCCCACCCAGCTGCAGTGATCCCACAGAATGTCAACATCTCTCTTTTCCCTCTCCACCAGGTTACCCCTGTTCCAAGCCAGTGCTTTTGCATTCTTAGCACCTGCCAGAGCAATTCTCTCTCTGGAGAAGTGGAAGTGCAATAACACAGGTAATGGTTGTTTGTCCTTATTCAGGTTTAAATGACAAATGGCTCAGATCACGTGGAGTGTGACTGTCASAGCTTCGGATATGGAAACTGGGAATAATGAGCAGGGAATATGGAAAGCTTCAATACTGTAAAAAGAGAAATATTGTGCTACAGCCTAGAAATGCACTTGTGAAGTTTTGTTTCTGGGATTTTTTTAATATTAAAAACGTTGACGAAAAAAATTGAAACGTAGCATAAAGTAATTCTTCTGTTACATTTGCATTCTATAAATGTTCCTTCCCTGTATTTGGAAATAGCGAGTCCAGTCAGATCCTTTGAAGTTGTGAGTAGGAGGAAGTTTGAGCAATGTACAGCATCACCTCCACACCAGGATTTCCCYCTGTTTAAGTCATACCTGACAAGTTTTGACAAGATTTGGATGTTCTTTTTCACTCTTTCTTTGCTGATGCCGTCATCCTGGAAGGTTTGAACTTCAGAGGGAAAATGTGCTGGTTGGAATAGGAGCATTTGCTTTAAATTGGGTTGGAAAGTAGAAATGAGTCTTGACAGTTTTCTTTTCAGTGGGGGGTGGTTATTCAGTACAAGGCTGTGGGCAGTGGGAAGCAGCAGCACAGGGAATGGGGCTGCTTCTGACTGAAGTTCTTTCCWGGGCTCCTTTGGATTCTGTAATGATTTAATTTAGATTATTTGTATGTTCATACATCTCTATTGACTCAAACTGAAAATGTGATTAATATGCACTTGTTGAAAGAAAATACTGTCTGATAACCTTGGATGGCAAAGCAGTTTTCCCCAATACTCCAAATTTTCAAAAAGAGCTTTGCTGCATCCTCCTCCTAAACCCTTTCACTTTGCAAAGGTGCCAGTTGGGGTTGTCACCACGGGTCAGTTCATTCAGTGAGTGACCTAAACCGGGGAACAACTAGCTTTGGGGTATGTGATTCCCAATGTGCAGCTAAGTAATTCTCCATTCATCCATTTGTTGAAGTGGACAGAGAATCCCTGACTGACCTTTCTTTCCTAGAGTCAAGACATTTTCCCACTTTGATGCACTGGGTGAAGTGAGGGGTTGGCTCTTGGGGAATGAGCCTGCTCTTACTTCATTAGTAGCAGAACTTGCTCTCCATGTAAATTTGAGCCCATTTGTCAAATGCAGCATAAGGRGGGATTTATTTTGTGTGGAATGATGGCAGAGTGGCTGGGGAATAAATCCCTGTGTTTTTTCTCCTCTTTGCAAGATATAACAGTTACAAATGGAACAGCAGAGCTGCTTCACACCGAGCACATCTGGTTCCCCAGGATACGAGAGGTAATGTGGGAGTTGCCTTTAGATGTCACTTGCTGCAATTCCACATAGGTTWCTCACTTAATCATCTGTGTGTTCTTGTCTTTAAGTTGGTAATTTCTTCTTTCATTACAATCTCCATTTGAGTATATCCCTTTACTCATTTCATGGAAGTCTTCATCTTTTCCACCTGCTCATTGCTGGACAGCAAATGCAAGGAGTTAGTTACCACATTCCAAAAGACATGCAGTGAAATGCTCAAGTGAGATGAAAACTCTTTTTGTTACTTTGATTTGTTCTCATTGGCAGCAGTTCAGCTGCTGCCAGACCTCTTGCCTGCTGTCCCTGTGCAGTGGGCTGTCCCCTGGAAGGTGAATCTGCAGTTAGGAAATCTGGTTCATCCCCAAGTGTCTTAAGTTGGAGACTCTTGTGCTAAGACATTGATTCTCCCAAGAGACTTGTGAAATACCTGGAACTCCTCCTCCACTCGCAGCACTGCAGTGTGAAGTCGTGGTGCCCTGCAGGGCAGGCTGAGGGCTGTGCCACGCTAGAGTGGCYGGTAGTGTAGTCCAAATGGAGGCGTGTGTCATGGAATTTATCTCCCATCCCGTTGCTTTGGGCTGCCAACTTTTTCTTAATTAAAAACAACCCCTCTCTCTTCCCCATGTTCAAACCATAGCTACATCCTGCCAAGAGCCCTGCAGCCAAGAGGGCTGACAGTCTCCTGAGACCACAACGCTGCTCTAATCCAGCTTCTAAGGAGCACTTGTGACCAATGCAGCACACACTCTGCCCCTAGGAGCTAGGAGCATCACCTCGTGGCGCACCAACCCTTGCCGTTCGATCTGAGAGCTTAAAGGTTAGCCTGGACCCCAGGTCTCCTGTCTGACAGTGTGATGTGCTTTCCACACAGTTTCCAGACTGGCCCACTGGTCTGTTGTGTAATAGTTTTGTGGAGAAAACCATAAGTGTTATGCTTAAAGCAATAAGTCACTTAAACAATATGAGCTGTTTTATGACGAAAAATTTGCTGAGTTCTTCTGTGTCACTGAATTCTTTTAACTTCAGTTTGTAATCCAGAGCAGAAAAAGAAACTGTTTGGCTTTACTTGTCAGATGGGACTGAGCTGCCTCTTTGCCCTGTTGTGTGTTCAGATCCAAGGTGCCATTATCATGTCCTCGCTGATTGAGGTGGTGATCGGCCTGCTCGGGCTGCCCGGAGCTCTGCTGCGCTACATTGGCCCCCTGACCATCACCCCCACCGTGGCCCTCATCGGCCTCTCTGGCTTCCAGGCTGCTGGGGAACGAGCTGGGAAACACTGGGGCATCGCCATGCTGTGAGTACTCCTAGGAGTTCCTGCCTGGGGCCCAGCTGGGGAGYCAAAATCTTGGGGTGCCAGGGAAAGGCCAGAGACAGCTCAGCTGCCTCAGTGCTCCCARCATGGAGAAACACCATGGGCAGGAATGTGGGTGGGTCTGGATTAGGTCAGCTGGCAATTTGGGAATAAGGACAGCAGCAACTCAAGAGAGTTGGCTGAAGAAACTCTTCTCTGGGAAGAAGTCCTTCCCTGTGAGGGTGGGKAGGYCCTGGCACAGATTGCCCAGAGAAGCTGTGGCTGTCCCTGGATCCCTCAGAGTGTCCAAGGCCAGGTTAGATGGGGCTTGGAGCAGCSTGGTTTAGTGGAAGGTGTCCCTGCCCATGGCTCATCCACAAAACTGGATGAGCTTGAAGGTTCCTTCTAACCCAAACCATTCCATGATACTGTGAGCTCAAAGATGCATGAAAGGACAATGGCCAAAAATGAGGTGTGGAGAGCAGGATTCCATAAAGCAGAAGTTGGTCTTGGAGCCATTTGGTGGGTGGAATTCAGTGCTGTAGAAAAGATGATTTAACAAAAAACCAGAGAGATGAAATACAGTGAACAATTTGTATTTCTAGGCTGCTATTACCTGTTTCCTATTCTGCAGCAGCAGGTAAATACCACTGGTGGTGTACTGATCCCTCTGTCACTGGTAGTGGTTTGCTTATCTGTGCCCAACAGGAATTTGTACAATGACTGAGGGCACAAGTYTTGCCTCAACACCATCAGTGGCTGAGGTATAAGTAGAGAGATTCCTGTTGAGTGGACAAAAAGGCTTTTAGAGAGACTTTCAGGGCCTAGAGTGTTTGTCCCATCAGCTGTAGAGGCCAGGGAAATGAAAGAATGAGCTGAGTSGTGTGAAAAGGAATAACAAAGGAAAATGAGATGAAGACAAAAGCTCCTTGTGAGATGCTGTGGGTAAGCAGCCAAATAAGGTTGGAAACSTCATTTTATGGAGAAGGCAAGTGGCTGAGGCAGTTGCTCTGTTCCATGTGCAGCACCCAACTGTGCTGGCTCTGGAAGCAGAAGGAATGCCTTGATGAGATCAGATTGTGATCTCACTAATCTGTTTGCACAGTACTTTGAACATGTAAAGTATTCTGTAAGTGCAGCTTATGATTAAAAGGGCTCTTTATTTCTCTTTTATCTTGGATGTTGATATCATGTGTATTATGGCATCATGGTTCTATTATGTTAAGCAGCTGATCCAAAGGAATTTTTTTTTTGCCTGTAAAACAAATTCTGTGCAAGGTGGGACTAATATTAAATGARTCAAGCAGATCTTTGAATTGGACATGGAAATGTAATTAAAGTTGACTTTTGCAGATGGAAAAAAATAAATCAATTCAGGAGCAGGATTTAAATATTACCCAGTCAATAAAGTATTTCCAGCTTCCGCCATGCAAAAATGAGCACTGGATTGTTGACAATAGCTCCAGAGCCATGGGGAGTCGGTCAAAAGTGACTTGAGCTCTGGGAGATGTGGCTCCTGAAATTGTCTTGGCTGTTCTGAAATACAGGATAAAAGTCCTGTATTTCTCCCTGGCCCTGCAGAATCACCTGTGGCAGAGCTGGGGTGAGCTGCTGGTGCTTGTCCATATTGGACAAGATTCCCAGTTTCCCAAACTGACCTGTTTGTTCTGTGAGTGCTAAATTGGAGTGATTTAATCCATAAGACACATTGCACTGTGATTTGTCAAAAGGGGAATTATTCCTGAGTTGGGCCTTGCCTGTTTATCCTGTGAACAAATTTTCTTGGGGCATTCAAGGATTTAGTGTTATTTTACAGCCCATGTGCCATGTAGTCAATGTAATATTAATTGCAATAATAGAATATTTTATTTTTTACAACTCTGTACTAAATAAATCAAAATCCAAAGCTCCTTGTCCTCAGGGCTGGGGTGTGAGGGATTGTAGCCCATCCTTCCATCGTGGATTTTGGGAGAGTTGCTGGTGTTTCCTGCATAACTGCAAGGAAAAGGTACCTTTTGTTTTTCTTATTGAGTGCAGAGGGCTGTGAATGCCCCTCCTTGTTCCAAGCTCTCTGTTCCCAGRGAGTGAGGGAGAAGAAAACTGGTTTGTGTCTGACACTGATCAGGGGCAGGAAAGAGAGAGAGGCTGAAAATCCTCTTTTTATTTTTCAAGTCAGCTGATTAAAACATAATCTCAGATGTCAGCAAAGCTTTGCTTCTTCAGACAGCTCCAGTCTTTGGAAGGCCTTTTCAGACCAGAACTGGGTTGGCTCATTCAAAACTGAGCAATGTGCACTGGCTTCTTATTTTTCAGTGCAGTGGGAGCTTACTGAGCTGTAAAAAATAATTTTAATGTATAGAGGAGCTTGGCAGTTTCTGTAAGGGGAGAAAATGCATAATCATTGAGACATCTAATATTGATGAATTGCAGTTGCAGCAAATCATGGGGGTTTGTCTCTATTCTGCTTCATTTGCAGCTGTTTAGTGAAAGATGCATATAAAAAAATAGATTCTGAAGARTGGAATTTTTTTCTTGATGGAAATTTTTCAAGTGCTTTGGAGTTTCATGCAAATATTGAAGTAAAAATTACTGTGTACAGGCCTTCAGTTTTCCTGTTTCTTCCCAATTGCTGGCAGTGAGTTTTGTGCTTTACATAGCAAACCTGGATCACAGGTAGAGTTTGGGAGGAAARAAGTGGGAGCACAGGGCAGCTCCTTCCTAATGGCTGCTCAACACTGAAAATCTTCTTTCAGGTCCTTTTCCTACTACATTTACCTATTTGTTGCTCCCTATTTTTGCAGCACTTCAGAATTCAAATCATGTTGTTTTAGCATTTGAAGAATAACAATTTAAAAAAATTTTGCTGCCTTGTCTTGTGCTAAACTGAAAATGTACATTTACATCTTTCAGGTCCTTTTCCTACTACATTTACCTATTTGTTGCTCCCTATTTTTGCAGCACTTCAGAATTCAAATCATGTTGTTTTAGCATTTGAAGAATAACAATTTAAAAAAATTTTGCTGCCTTGTCTTGTGCTAAACTGAAAATGTACATTTATRTTCTGCATCTGAAGAGTCTGAACAGGTTTGTGCTGRGAAGGATTTATAATATATTGGTGCTAATGGTGTGTCTCTCTTGTCTCACCCTCCTCCTTCTTTTTTTCTCAGGACTATTTTCCTAGTATTGTTGTTTTCTCAGTATGCCAGAAATGTCAAATTTCCCTTGCCCATTTACAAATCCAAGAAAGGATGGACAGCATACAGGTTGCAGCTTTTCAAGATGTTCCCTGTAAGTCATTGAACTTGCTAATTCTGTTTCAGGGTTTGTTTTTTGGTTTTGATTTTTCTTCATAATAAAACAGCTCACAAAGGTGAGATGTAAGTTTAAATGGACTTACTTGAAACTTAAGTGCTGGTTGGCCATTGGAAGTATTCTCATGATGAGGCCCTGCCAGATCCCATTGYAGTGTCTGTCTCTGCTGAGGAGCTGTTGGAGTGATGGAGACTCGGGAGGGGAGGGAAGGGGCAGAGAAGAAGGGATGTTTGTGCACACAGGGAAAGCCTAAACTGAGCCCTGCAAGAAGGGGTGGTGAGATGGTTATCATCTCCTTTTACCAAAGCAATTCCCTGTTCSCTGGTGAAAGGCTGCTCTTTATTCCTCTGGTAAAATTGAGACTGGTTTGTTAAATTGCCCATTTGGAGTCTTTCCCATTTGTTAAGGAGAGAAGAGACTTGCTCTGATTCCAAGGCTTTTGTAACAGCACCTTCCTTGSGGGTGGGGGGAAGCATCCTGTGGATCTGTTACAGGATTTGCTGCTTGTTCAAAGTGAACCTCATATGTGTACAATAGATCCTGAATATGAACTGACTGAGAACTGGSTTTATCACCTTTTCTGCTCCTCTCTCCCAGATAATTTTGGCTATTCTGGTGTCGTGGCTGCTGTGCTTCATCTTCACRGTGACGGATGTGTTTCCCCCGGACAGCTCCAAGTACGGTTTCTACGCGCGCACCGACGCGCGCCGGGGAGTGCTGCTGGTGGCCCCYTGGTTCAAGGTCCCTTATCCCTGTAAGTGAGGCTGCTCTCAAGCAGCTTTTCTACTAATACACTCGGGAAAGTAATTTCTGTTGCTCCAAAAGCACTGCTGGCTAACTCTCATTCACCATCCCTTGGTGAATGGTCCATCCCAGGAARTGTCCATGGCCAGGYTGRACAGGCTTTGGAGCAGCCTGGTCCAGTGGRAGSTGTCCCTGCCCATGGCAGGGGTGAGATTCTTGAAGGTCCCTTCCAACCCAAACCATTCCACAGTTCTGCACACACAATCTAATGATATTCTGGGTCAGGCTGGTGTTTTTCCATGTTTTCCTCTTCAGYTGGTACCTTAAGGTCTCTCCTAAGAAAGGCTGAGTTTCTAAAACTGCAGTTTGTAGAAGGCACTTAAAGGGTTTTATCTGGGTGACTCTCCTGGTTATAACATAACAGGGAATGGTTCATTATCTGTCCTTGGCAATCCTGTTAATGTTACACAATGACAAGGATGGGTTATTACAGCTCTGCTGATGTCATTGTTTCCCATTGTCTAAAGAATCACACTTGTGGGGAGTTTCTMCCAGCTTACTGCACTTTGCTGCCCTAAACACACCCCTTCCTAAATGAGCACAACTGTTAATGACATAAAAATGCTCTGACTTGCCAAGGCAGCATTGAAATGGAGCTGATGGGCAAGTCAGAGAATGCCAGTCCCTGCTTATCAAAGGGCAATGAAATTGTTTACAAGAGAGCACCAAACACTTTACACAACATTTTGGATGCTTTGGGTGTATTTTTATGTTGGCCACCTTTGTATTTAAAGCTGTTAAAGGCTGGGTTTGTGGCATGAGATAGAGTTGCACAACTGGTTCATCCTTCAGAAATTACCGGGCTAATAAGAGAATAGTATTTTTTGGAATAGAATTATAGAAATCATTAGGAATACCACTACACTGTGATGAGGCAGCTTTGTTGTGGTTTTCCATATGCTTTGGTTCTTAGCAGTTCTTAAAAGAAGCCACATCTAAAGCAGAAGATGAAGAATAGAAGCTTTTGGGACAAAAAGAGGAAGAAAACTTCTCCACCCTAATTAGACGTTCCATATTTACTCTTGTGTAATTCAAAAATCCCTTTGTTGCAAGAGGCTTATCTATTTCAAAGAGATAAAAGCATAAAGGCAATTGCTGTGGAAAACCTGCCAGGCTTTTCTGCAGGCTTAAATTAATCTTATTTTCTCTACTACAAAAATTTGGAACTGGGAGCTGTTTGTTCAGTCATCAGAGCTGGTTGTTGCCCGTYCTCTTTGATAGACTAAATTTGTGACCAAAGAATGAGTTTTTGGAGCAGTAATAATTAAGTGGCATTTGCCTCACTGACCAGTGTTGTTTTCTCACAAGCTGTAGCTCAGATTTCTGATTCATGAACGGGAGGAATTTTTTTTAGTGGGGTTTTATGGTTCTTTGGGATTTTTCCAGGTGTGATCAAAGCAGTTGGTTTGGCRTTTTTTCCTTTGCTCCTTTCATCTCCTTGAACTTGCCAGACAATGTTAGAATGAAGGGTTTTGTTGTTTCCATTAAAGATAAAGAAATAGTGCCCAGGACAGTACCTGTCCCCTCTGCTGGGCACTGGAGAGGCCCATCTCAATCCCAGGGTTAGTTCTGGGATCTTACAAGAGAGATCTTCAGGGGCTGGAGCATGTCCAGAGACAGGAACAGAGCTGGAGAAGGGGCTGGAGCACCAGGAGCAGCTGAGGGAGCTGGTGGGGTGAAGGGGATGGGGCTCAGCCTGGAGAAAAGGAGGCTCTGGGAGAACCTTATGGCTCTGCACAACTCCCTGACAGGAGGGGACAGCCGGGGGGGTCAGGCTCTGCTCCAGGGAAGGGACAGGACAAGGGGAAACAGCCTCAGGCTGGGCCAGGGGAGGTTCAGGTTAAATATTAGGGAGTATTTCTTCCCAAGAAGGGCTGTCCAGCCCTGGCACAGCTGCCCAGGGCAGTGTGGAGTCCCCATTCCTGGGGGGATTTAAGAGCCATGTGGATGTGGCTCTTAGGGACATAGTCAGTGGTGGTCTTGGCAGTGCTGGGGAAGCAGTTGGGCTTGATCATAAATGTCCTTTCCAACCCAATCCATTCCRTTATTTCATCAAATTATTGTATGTTTTGATACCCAAATTGTTTTCTGAGGCCAGGAGAGTTTTCAGTTTTCTTCTCTTCACAGTTCAGTGGGGTCTGCCAACCATTTCTGCAGCAGGGGTTATTGGGATGCTGAGTGCTGTCGTTGCCAGCATCATCGAATCCATYGGAGATTACTACGCCTGTGCCAGGTTGTCCTGTGCTCCTCCTCCACCTATTCATGCAATAAACAGGTTYGTCCAAAAAATAAATACTCCCACTGTCTCAAGCTATTTGGGTTTTTACTTTTTTTACCCCTTGGGATAAGACAGGAATGTGCTCTGAAATGTTACAATTTGGTCAAACACAAGGGCCCGGGATCTGAAATCCAAGATGAAACTGTCATCTTGAATTATTTTGTTACAAATGGAGCTTTGGAATCCTAGTCCAATTCCTGCTGGAGTCTGTGGAAGTTAGGAGCACAGTTTCCCTAGGGATAGAACTTCTGAACTGGTTCTGGAATTGGGGGTGGTTTGTCAAATTCACCTGGAATRCAATCTAGAAATAAAGAGCAGCTCTGAAGCTTTATTTGAATTTTTRTATCATTTCCTCAGTTTAAGAATGWGGGTATCTAAGATTCAGAAAACAGAACTGAAATGTGTTTTCCAGGTGTCTTGGAGCTTGAAACATGGATTACAATTATTCCATAAGGGAACAGATGCCCTAACAGGCCCCCCTCTGGGCATTMAGCTGTAAAACAGCCTCTTAGTGAATCTGTACTCATACAAACATGACTGTTTTCTGTTTGGGATTTATAGGGGGATTTTCATCGAGGGTCTCTCCTGTGTTCTGGATGGAGTGTTTGGGACAGGGAATGGATCCACCTCTTCCAGCCCCAACATTGGTGTTCTGGGTATCACAAAGGTAAAGTGCTTTAMTGTGAGCACTCAGCAATGTATTTCCTCTCCTCGGGTGTGTTCCTTATRTTCATGTTGCACAGCATGATCCTCTTCCAGGAGACCATTCTGCTCCATTCCTCATCCAGACAAACTTTACAGATCATTCTGAATGTACCTGACTGTCTGTACCAGCTCTTGTCTGAGGGAGATGCATTATTCTACATCAAGACCTCAAAAACCCTTTTATTCAGAGTAAGAGGCAGTTAGAACCTCCATAAAGCAGATGCTGCTGCATAAACTGTTTCTTGGAAAACCCAGGCAGCATTCCAGGGCTTTGGGTGGTTTGAGTTGAGGCATGAACACTGTAAGCTGTATAGAAATTGATGCCTTTTGGATATTGTGGCTCTGAAAGCATCAATACGAAGTGATTCTAATGCCTCAATTAAACACACAATAAAATGCAACTTGGTGTCCTTGGGCTTTACCTATATTTGTACTGGGACATGACATTGACACAGGGACTGCAGTCAAGATAATTTCAGAGTTAAATGTATCCTAAGTGTCTGTTTGTAAAGCTTAGGGGTTTRCATATTTTTGGTGATGTTGCTCAACAAAATATGGAAGTGCTTGAGGAATTCCTTTGTTCACATGTGGGAGTGGATTTGTGCCCAGATGCCTTGAGCTGGGAGGCCTTGGGCTGCAGAGAGATCTGCTGGGTACTGTTAATTTAACCTTGTTTAGAAATACCAGCAACATTGGTAAGAGTAATTTATTTTGTAATACGTACATCTTGTTGGGTGTTTAACATGGAAACCATAAATCCTTCATGCAAGGATAGAAAATGTCTGTTCTCCRCTTCCAGTAACTCATCCCCTGGCGTTATCCAGTATAAATGATATATTTATATTCAGCCATTCCTTTTGCTGCACAGTGGATGATTCTGTTGGCTTTAGGGTGCAATACAACACTAACAGCACCATCTGCTGTCTGTACCAGTTGCCATTCAGGTGCTGATGGAAATTTCCTAGAAGTTTTGTTTAGAAAAATCCTTAAAGAAAGGTTTATTCTGTCCTGCTTCCTTTCTTTTGTTTGCTTCATAAGGGCTGAGATGAATTAACAGCACTTTTTTTATGAGCARCCCACAGAAATGAGTGTGCATTTCATACTGGAGCAGTAGGAAGTGAATGCTAAAGTGGCAGCTGGAGCAGAGAGTGGAGCTGTCCAGTTGGGCTGTGCAGAGCATGTGACTGCAGAGTGAATGTGCCTTACCCAGAGTGGTGCAGCTGGATGGCTCTCCAACAGTGTTTTCTCTTGTTCCCCTGCCTGCACATTCATTCCCAAAAACCTAACATTTTTTCAACTTCAGTTTCTATCCAAATAGAATTTTGGCATRTAAATACTCTGCTGTTTATTTGTGAGAAGTCTTTAGTGCTGTGTCATCCAACAGATCCCAGGGCATTTACCTCCCTTGAAATTGGTATGTAATTACACTTACAATTTAAATTTGAGACTTCAGCTACATGTAGATATTGCAAAGTCTTTGAGSTAGTGTGTGAGTTGGGTTTGATGAGAGGAGGATCAGTTAACTCTTAATTAGTTGGGGCTAAARCAACTTATGCCATAATGTTGAGGATGAAATGGAGGTATCATGTACCATTTTATGCACCCCAAAATAGTCACTCTGGTTGTGTGTGCTGGGAATAAACATGCAGCCTGAGCTAAATGCTGTCCAGGATGTTTTCAGTAGCTTTCCAGAGCAGCTTAATTTGTTTGCCTTGTAGTGATGGAGMATTGGCATAAATAAATGTCACTGTTGTGCAGGTTTTCAAAGAATTTGCCTGTTTCTGGCAGGAAGATAATCTTAGAGCAAGGAATCAGTGGCCCTAAGAACATTGATATTCTTGTAAAGATTAGAGAAATGTTGTCATCTAAATTCTGTTGTAATTCCAGTTAATGGTGTAGCTTCTGTTTGAGGGTGAAGGATCTCACCTGGCAGATCAGCAGTGAGGAATGTAGGAGAAGGAAGGACTTCTCCCCTTATTTGGATCTGTTGTTCCTTATTTCAYTCATTTAGCTCAGTCACACGATAACCAATGAATATTTCCTTTTTGAACCCTAATACTAATTCAGGGGACCTGCAAAGGGCTGTTCTATAAACCATCTTAATGTAAAGGGGGATTTTTTATCCCTGGGGCACCTCTTACGGTAGCAAAAAAGTGTTAAAATACCAASTGTTCACATTTATCCACTACCACTGTAACACAGAGAACTACTGACTGCTTGAATTTGAATGCTTAAAATAAAACTGGGAAGGAAGTGCAGGCCCTTGGTTTCAGTATTAGCACAACCCTTATGTGCATGGGGCTGTGAATTCAGCCCTGGTCTCTGAGGATGTTACAAAACCAGCTGCTAATCTCAGTTTAGAAATCCTGCACCTCCCTCACATGAAATGGTAACTCTTCCATTTATTCCCTTGTCAAAGGGGGGCAACACATGGAATTTATTTTTTCCATTCTCAGTCTCTCCTTGCAGTGGTTTCTCTGTTTTGCTTTCTCTCTCTAGTCACTGGATTTTGCACCACATTTCATGATTATCTTGGTTGCAGCAGTTCCAGATGGTTTTAGTGCTGACTTGGTGCTCCACCAGCCCCAAATCAGAGGAAGCTGTGCTTGGTTGCAGAGCAGCTGTGGCTCTGCTGAGCCCTCTGAGCCTTTCAACACCAAAATAAAACCCAGAAATGTGGAACCTGGAAATGACTTGAAATTAAAACTGAATAATAAAATGAAATGCAAGGAGTGAGGCTGAACTGAGTGCAGGCTTTACCCAGTGTCTTGTCCTTTTTCCCTGCAGGTGGGGAGTCGTAGGGTGATCCAGTATGGAGCAGCCTTCATGCTGCTSCTGGGGATGGTGGGCAAGTTCAGCGCTCTCTTCGCGTCGCTGCCCGACCCCGTGCTGGGGGCTCTCTTCTGCACCCTCTTTGGTAAGGGGACCTTGCTGCTCCTCTCTTGTACTCCACTGCTGTCTTGTTTTGAAGAAAACAACTTGTCTAAAAGCTGATCTTTGGGGTTTTTTTTTGTATTTAGGGATGATTACAGCCGTGGGTCTGTCAAACCTCCAGTTCATTGATCTCAATTCTTCTCGTAATCTCTTTGTGCTTGGATTTTCTATTTTCTTTGGACTGGTCCTCCCAAGCTATCTCAAACAGAACCCCCTGGTCACAGGTACGTGTTCCTGCTCCTTTACATCAAAATTTTTGCCTTGTGCTCACAAGCAAAGTCCATACAGGTACAAAGTAATGCAGAGGGGTGAGTAAGAGAAAACCCAAATTATGGAGACAGTAAAAGCTGTAGGTCTAAATGAGCTCTGTGTGTTTTTGGAGGAGAATTCATTGRGAGGTTGAGACCTGAATGGAATGTTCCAGTGGGATACAGCTGAAGCTTTCCTGCTTTCTCTGGGTACATTATAGASCAACAGAAGGAGGCAATTACCAGTTGGGCTGAAAGAAAAAGAGTGAATGTGAGTTGTAAATGATGTTAAAAGATTAAGGARAAACACCAATGTAGAGTTTGGAAGGTGGGGATTTGTTTGGGGGGGTTGAAATTTTTTGTCATTCAGATGTGTTCTGAAYGTGAATTTTAGTGAATTCCTTTGCAGACTCTTGATCAAACTGTAGCTTTAGGGAATTCTTGGGCAAGATTTTCTGTTTGAATATTACCTTCAGCAGTAGTCATGSCAGTGTGTGTCAGTAAAGATGCACTCTAAGGAAACATTTCACTGCTTGGGGTTTGTTTGGGTTTTTTTTAAAACAAAATAACAACTGACTTTTTGTCCACTGTGTCTTCAGACTAGGATTTATGGGCATATCTGTCCTACTGTAAGTGGTTAGAAAACAGATCCTTCAAGCTTTATGTGGTTGTTGCAGTGTTATCCTGTGAACTGGGGCTATGAATTCTTGCCCTTTTAARAAGTAAAGATTTATAAAAGGAATTACTTCAGCCCCCACAGTGAATTTGAATGTTTCTCTTTTCCATTTTATGGTTTTCAATTCAGGTTAAATTAGTTGTGTCTGCAGTAGGAACTAAAACGGTGCTTCATGACATTTTTGTGAGGAAATGAGAATTCTTGAAGAATTTCCAGAGCCCTTTTGGAGCAAATCCCTCACTGAACTCAGGAACAAGTTTTCCTGRTTGACCTGGGTGTAAATCACCAGCATATGGATGATAAAAAAAWTCCAAAATTAACTCTTTTCCCTGTTGCTGCAGGAATAGCAGGTATTGATCAAGTGTTGAATGTCCTGCTTACCACAGCCATGTTCGTTGGGGGCTGCGTTGCCTTTATCTTGGATAACACCATCCCAGGTGAGCACTGAGCCTGTTCTTTCTCTGGGATACCAGCAGCATTCCCTGGGGGCAGGACAGGAGCAAGAGATCCCTGCTTTTGGGGTTGACTGTTCAACACCAGGAGCAGAGTCCTTACACCTGCCTCCCTTTCCCCAGGAATACCTGGAATCCTTTCCAGGTTATGGTCCCATCCTATTAAACATYTGAAAGAGCTGGTAAAAATCAAACCAGTCTCCAGAAGACAGAGTAAAACTATTTTTAAGATCCAAACTTGCTTCCATTCAAGAAGATAAAAATGTGCCTTGGCTTCCAGTTACAAATAAAAACACATAATGTGTTTTTCCCTTTTCCTGCCTCTTTGAGGAGTCTGGAAGATCTTTCCAGAGCTTTGCTGAGCATGGTGACTGAACCTTGAGGTTTTCTCTATTTTAGCCTCTGCTTTACATCTGTGTGTTCATATAAAGATATTCACATATAAATATATTTTCCTTTTATTTTGACTTGTAGGAAGCCCTGAAGAAAGGGGAATACGGAAATGGAAGAAAGGTGTTGGTAAAGGAAGCAAATCCCTGGATGGCATGGAAACGTATGATTTGCCTTTTGGCATGAACTTAATTAAGAAATACAGGTGTTTCAGCTTCCTGCCCATCAGCCCCACCTTCATGGGATACACATGGAAAGGCTTCAGGAAAAGCAGTAACTGCAGGAGTTCAGACGAAGACTCAGAAGCTACAGTATAGCCTTAGCTGAAGTTATATTATCTAGTTGTAGTAAAAGATGTATTTGCAGTTTCTTGCTGATTAAGAAGCATTAAAATATCTGTTTTGTATATCTGCATTTAAATTCTGGAACCAGAGCTGAGATGGATTTAAAAAAAAAAAAAAGAAAAAAAAAAGTTTTCCTGCTGTGGGTGGTGGGAGCCAGGTCTAGTGTCTCTGGGGCAAATCCCATTGATTCTGGGAAGCTGTAGATAGCTGTGCTCCTAGGTCTGTTTAAGTGGGTTTAGGTCCTAGCAGTGTGTAGGTGCTATTGCAAACCTTTCATTTTTTATCGTGGTTTTACTGAGGCCCTCAGTGCTGGTGTTGGGCACAGTCATCGCTGGCAGTGTCGGTTGTGCCAGGAAAGTGGAACCTTGGAAAAAGAGAGGAGGGGAGAAAAGAAAAAAGGAAAAATACTTCCTTCTAATCATGTCAAATCCCATAGACACTTCTACTCACTGATTTGCAAATTCCATATTCACAGTGCCCTGGAAACCAGGTTCATCTGTTCCTGGCAAATGATGAGAGTGTTGTTCTGACTTATCAGTAATTTCAGTGACACATCCTATGTTAAGACAGAAAGTTTCTGGAACAACTTTGCCCTWGAAAACAGTGACTGACTTCGCTGGCTCAGTGCTGCAGAAGCCATTTATTTCACAGCATTTCTCATTTTTAAATGTTTGCTTTTCCTCCCTGGGATTTCCCCACCTCAGCAGGGTGTCCAGGTACAGGATTTCTTTACAGGTACACATGAGGCTGGAGTGTTCCAGGGATAGGAAACCTGAATGTCCAGAGAGGGTCTGGTGGCAGTGTTTCAGTTCAGTGCCTTTATCCAGCAAGATGTTTCCTGGACAGAAATACTAACTAGCAGAGCAATTCCAATCAATTAACAGTTGGATCCATGCAGGGAAGGCCAAGTGGTCCAAATGCTGCCGGCACTCCTGCCTTGGATCTGAGCAGCATTTTTTGCTGATGCTGCACAAGCAGCTGACATTGCATTGCCTCTTCCTTCTTATGGGGCTTCTCCAGAGGCTCATTCCTGTTGGGAATGGGGTTTGGGACAGCAGAGACACTACACCTGCCAACCTCACCCACTAGATGGTTTCACGGGTATTGGGTCCAATTAGGGCACCACTCAGATTTTTTTTTTCCCTGGAATAGTCTCAGCTCTGATGTTACATGGGTGTTAATACTCATCATGCATTCATAATTAACAGTTTTATTCCTGTTTAATGTTCTTACTATTGCAAGTTAGTTTTAGACTTCATTGTGGCCCCCAAAGCATTTTCAGCTGTGGAGATCATCAGGGAAATGTTGTGTAATGTAATTTCAAGGCCAGTAATGCTCTACGGTGCTTGCGTTTTGTATTCCTGGAAAACCCTAACAGTAGATCCTGTAATCCCCTAATATATTTATCAAAGTTTGACTACTGGACAGGAGTGCAGGAACTCTGTTTCCTCTGAGTCTGCTTCCAGGGGAATTTGTTCTGGGTTGCTGAAGCATGGACGGGTTGGGGTGGGGGAGGGCAAGGACAGAGCTTAATGGATCAGTACTGAGTAGTGTAGAGTTGGAATGATTCCGTGGGTATCGTTCTCAGCATGCCATGGCTGTTTCCAGAAACTATTTTATCCCGCTTTTCCCGTGTCCAAGCATGCATTTGTTCCTGCTTCCTTGGGGAACTCTCAGTAGTTTGCAGTCTTGGTGTCAATTGGACTTGACAGCTGGTCGGAAGAGTTGTTGTCTAGTAGACGAGGTTTGGTTGCCTGTGAAACAAGGTCTTTTTTGTTCATTTTTGAAAGTTTCCTCTCCAGGTAGTGAGGTGTTGGATTCCCACGCCCACCTGCACATGGTTTGGATGCRGGGACCTCTGATCAGGGGCACAAAGCTTCCAAATTTCCCAGCTTTATGTGCAGCCAAAGATGTGTGGGAGATGTGGAGGAGTTAAAAATATCTCTTTAAAAAGAAAACAGAAGCCACTCTGGTGGCTCTTCAACCCAGGTGGTTGTAGTGATGTCAAATGCCAAAGTTGGTTATGCTGTAGAAGTTGAGAAAGGGAGAAAAAAGCTTTTCATTTCCAGCTTATTATTTCTGGTGCTGCTGGCACATGGCACGGCCGGAGCCCCAAAGCATTCCTGGCTTTCCCAACTCCTCCCCCAAGCAGAGTTTGGATAACTCCAGAGAGACAACGAGATGAGAGCAGAGTTCCTCTCTCACCCTGACTGAGGTAAAGCCGGGTGTGCTCTGCATGGCCTCACCAGAGATTCCCAAGATGCTTCAAATCACAGGGCAGTGAATCCAAAGATATTTCTRCTCCTCCCTGGAGTAGGACAGCCCTCCATTCCTGCTGCACTGAATGACTCTCTGAGTAGGTGCAGTCCAATTATCTGTGTTAACTGGTGGATTTAGTTCTTTTTGTGACTTGTGCCCATTCCCCCTGGCTGAGAGCAGAGCAGCCCTGCTCAGACAGCCCCTGGCCTTGGGAACACTAAGAAGTAGCTGGAATTAGAGTCAGTTTGTCTCCCAGCTTGTCAGTGTGACAACTGTCCACCTTTTCCCAAGGATGAATGGTCGAAGGTGAGCTTGGGAAGGACAGATGAGCAGGGAAGGGCTGGGATGGAGGCAGTGGCAGCACCTTGAGCACACCTGGGCAAGGACAGAGCTGGTCACAGGGCCCTCAGGAAGAGAAGCTTCTCTATCCCTTCCCGGGGCTCCTGGAGCGCTCCCAGCACTGCCAGTGGAAGGAGATGCAGTGGTTTTCTYTGTGAGGGAAATGGCTGAGTTCACCTCAGGTTTATGCAGCTGCAGCAGGGGATATTGGACCTTAAATCCTCCTCCCACTGTCACTTTTCCAAGTGGCTGCTGTGAAATTCCAGGAAGCTGGTGCCTGTCCTGAGCTGCTGGCAGGTGTGGTAAAGCATTCACCTGYAGGTTTGGAAAGCATTAAAGATGTRTCTGCTGGGGACCTCCAGGTGTAACCTGRCTGTCAATGCAATACTGTATTTTTCTCTCTGTTTTTACCTGCCTTTGAAACTGCCAAACTCCAACCACCCAGGGAAGGCAACACCTGAGAGATGAGTTAAGAGGCGATGAGAMGTTTCAACCAAATTTGAGAGGGAAGGGCAAATATTCATGGTAGAAATATCATTTTGTCATATAAAAGATGGTATCAATGTATACAAACAAAGTAACTTGGGAWTTTTGTAATTGATATTCTCTTGTATTTTTTTTAGGTTAAATTCAGGATTCTTGCTGACATGTTGAAACATGTTTTCTAAAGCAAATACTTGCAAATTATACCTATAGAAATTTAGGTTTCGTAGCTGACAGCTATGATTGATTCATGTTGTCATATTGGAGGGACTTCACCACGTACCTCGCTCAGAAAGCTCAACCTTTTAAACCCCAAATTTGCTTTATTGCTTTTTAATACTGGCTTGAAGTATGACAACTTGGTTTGTACATGAATATTGCAGTATTTTATTTCCATATATTAAAAAATAACATTTCCACTCAGGATAACAGCGGTGGTTTTCCTGGGAGGGAGTGGTATGAGTGTCATGACAATGTCATGTGATGGTAGAATTTCTTCATTGACGAATCTATAGTAGTTGTGTATACTTTATTTACCCATGGTTGTGTTCCTACCCAAAACTGGAGGGTTTTGTTGTTTCCTCCCTGCTGAGCCCTCGGGGCTCCCGAGGTGGAATTGGTTGTGTGCATAGAAAGCCCTCATTGACACCCCGAGGAGCATCAGTGAGTGTAACCTGTCATTTACACCATCAAAAGTGTGGCAATCCTGTCATTTTGGGTACAAACAGCACTCCAGGCACACATGGTGTCAGAGCCCTGGTGTCTTGACGGTTTGGCTGAGCCCTTGGATGCCTCCACCCCACCTCAGCAGCCTGTGCTTGCCGTACTCAATGGATTGATGTGTAAAACGCATGTGTAAGACCAGCACGACCTTCATGTTGCTTCTTTGTGGCCTTCTTCAACCAAAAGCGGCTTTTTTTCCCTTTTTCTTGCATTTTTTGAAGCGGGGGGAGTTGGGGGTCACTCATTTTGTGCAGAAAAGTCCCACTTGGTGCACGTTTCTCTGTTTTTGAGGCCAGGGGAGTCCATGGTGCTCTGGGGTTAGAGCTGTGATGGGGTTAGAGCCATGAGTTCCCAGGGTTGCCTTGGGCAGTTTGGGTGTTGGGATCTGTGTTGGGAGCCATCCCAAGCATTCCTGGCTTGTTTCTGTTGGACTGTGGCTGTGCAGTGCCATTCCTGATGGCAGAGGGAGATCTGGGATGGCCTCGTGTGCTCTGCTTGTCCCTACACCTTTCCAGGGCAATCACCTTACTGCCAGTCCAAATTCTTCTATTTGTCTGTTTTAACAACCTTTGACGTAACAAACTATTGACTGTTCTTAGGCAGTGGGGATAAATTTTGTTTTTCCATGATTTTTTGTGACTGACTGGCTGTAAAACTTTTTGTTCAACAGCAAAAGTTATTTTGCGGGGGGGTGGGTTGGGGTTTT